AAACCATTTAATTTTCTTTTGACGATAGCTTTCTGGGCTCTGGTAAAAATGATCTGTATTCTGATATGTATTATGTCAAAGTTCAGAAGTACAAAGAAGAAAGTTAAAACTCATGAGAAAAAGAAGGAAAAAAGAGATAGAACCAGAATAAACCAAACTCCTTAAAAAAGAAAAACCCTCCAGAAATCCAAAGAACTATTTATAGCTATTATTGCCATCCTTTCCTGGCAAATTTACATACTTATATACATATTTAGCTCTACATAAAGCATTTTACACAAATGGGATCATATTATATATGCAATTCCGAAACCTATTTTCAAAAATTTCTTCACTCACCAATATGATGCAGAACTAAAGATCACCACCATTATTCTTTGCAACTGCTTAGTATTACCTTGTATGAGTTACTATAATAAATTTCATCAAACCTAATTGAAAGATATTTAGATTGTTTCCCAAAGTCCTATGTGAAAACATTACCAAAAGCATTCAAGCATACTTTTGAAAAATTCATAAGAATCACTTTGTGTAATCAGAAGATATGATTTCTGGGAAATCACAAGGAATGCACACTGACATTTTGATATGTATTGGCGAACTGCCCTCCCAAAAGATTGCCTCAATTTATGCCCCACCATGACACACATTCATCATGACTGAATTTATAAATCTTCGCTAATCTGATAGGCAAAATAATCCCAGGAATTTGATTTCTGGGTTTTTTGTTTGTTTATTTTTTAATCTTTAGTATATGTTTACTGTCTATCTGAATTTCTTAGAGGATAACATATATAAGACTTCTGGTTTCAAAGAAGAGACTTATTTATATGCAAAGAGGTCCATCTCAGGATTACTTATACTTGTTAGAAAACAGAAACAACCAGATGAGAAACCAACATACCAATTAAGATATAAACATGTGTAGGAATATTTTGTAGCCAAACAAACAAGAATATTTTGGATAAGTATCTAATAGCATATGGAAATGATTATATTATAAAGTTTGAGGAAAGAAATCAAAATGCAAAATAATTTACAGACGAATTCCAGCTGTTAAAATATAAGTTTAGAAGAAAAAAGATGGGAAAAATAATTAGACAAGAAGGAAATACAAGAAATTGTTCATGTGGATGATCTCTGTAAGGTGGGATTTTGGATTATTTCAATTTTCTTCATCATACATTTTTGCAGACAGAATTTTCTAATATAGGGGCTAATTTTTAACATCCGGTTGATGCATTCACTGTTCCTACTGTTTAGAGGTCATTCACACACAGATGCATAACATTATCATTAAGGACTTATTTTAGCGAACTAAATGGACATATGCTTTGGTTTATCCATAATACTAAGGAATACGCCCATTAGCACTGGCACTGCCTTAGTTAGGGGTCAGATCCTGGCTCTCAAGGAGTATGCCCCTGGAAGGTGGGAGAAGGCATATGCCCAACATCTATAGCGTAAGAGAGGAGAGCATGTCTGCTGAGATACAGGAAAACCTTCTAGGGGAGGTAGTATTTCAGCGCATCCTGGAAGAAGTTGGATTTTATATAACAGTTGTCATTCTCCCCACTGACTCTATAAGAAATAGGCATTCGTTGTAGGAAAATGTATAAGATGACAACAGACATTTCCAGGGTCATTATCACATGTGGAACACTGTTCAATCCTTACATGGAAACATCTCACTTAACCCCCAGCAACCCTCTAAAGGTGGCTGTGATTATTTTGTGCATTTCAAAGGCAAAGAGAGGGAGAATAAAAGATTAAATGAGTGAACACCGGGTACATGATTGGAGAATTGGCAGAAGCAGTCCTGGAATGCACGTTGACCTGGTGCTACAGAAGGAAATAAATCAGTGCTAAGCTCATTCTTTCAGTCTCCTCCCCCCCACACACCCCCATGCAAGAGGCTTTCCCCGGTCCTCTGCACCCCTGGGTGGTTCTCACTCAAGCATTATCAGCACATTAACTGAAGGCATATGAGTGGGTGAGATCACCCATGCAGAGGAGAAGAAAAAGGGCTCTGGGAACGAAGCCCGAGCAACAGAGATGGAGATACATTCCCAGGTCTGGGCTGAAGGGAGAGCAGGCAGCATGGGGAAAATTTCACAGTGGTAACAATCTTGGAGCTGAACCCTAGAGGATGAGAAGTTTGCCAGGTGGAGAAGATGAAGACAAGTGTCCAGAGCAAAGAGAACAGCATCTGCAAAAGCATATGGGATGCAAGGGATAACCTGGTAACTTGGAAAACCAGCAAGTGATTTTAGCATAGAGTGTGTGTGTGTGTGTGTGTGTGTATGTGTGTGTGTGTGTGTGTGTCTACGTGAGTGTGAATATATTTCAGGAGGTTAGTGTGATGATACATAATCTAGCGAGGAAGGCACGCTTCATGTCATTAAAGACCATGTGTTAGTTGGTTTTCCAGACTCAGATACACACACACACACACACACACACACACACACACACACACACACACACCCTACTGGTTCTGATTCTTTGGAAAAACAGAGAAAACAAATATATAGAGATTTATTATGACGAATTGGCTCGTGTGAATTATAGAGGCTGAGAAGACCCACAGTCTGATGTTTGTGAGCTAGAGACCCAGGAAAGCTGGTGGTATTCAGTCCAAGTCCAAAGACCTGAGAACCAGGGGAGCTGATGGTGTAAATCCCTGTCTGAGGGCTGAAGAAGTTGAGCTATGTCCCGGCTCAATCAGTGAGGTGGGAAAAAACCCAATGAATTCCTCCTTCCTCTACCTTTTCTTCTATTTGGATTGGATGATGCCCAACCACATTTGGGGAGGGTGATCTACTTCCCTGAGTCCACAGATTCAAATTCTGATCTCATCCGAAAAGACCCTCAGAGACATATCCAGAAACAATGTTTAAACCGGGCACCTGTGGGCCACTCAAGTTGACACATAAAATTAATCCTCACAATCCCTTATTAAAAGGTTTGGAATCTTATGGAAAGAGAGTTTGGAAATAGAGTGGAGAGATCCCTGAAGGCCAGCTCATCAGTATAAACTTTATTTATCTGGAAGGCAATGAGGAGCCTTTGAATTTTTTTCAAGAAAAGGAATGATAAGATCAGAACTGGGCTTTTCAAGATCCTGGACTGGGTGGTTTGGAGAAGGAAGAGGCAGGGGAGAAGGCGAACAGTTGGTAGAATATTTAAAAGTCAAAGTGAGAGGTGATGAGCATATGTACTCATGGGTACTAGGATGGTAGCTACATAGGGTGGTGGTTTATTGGGGGTGAAGGGGTGGGTGGATTTGGGATGACAGATAAGAGAAACATCAGACAATCTATGGGGTTATCTGGGAAAGTCCATTGTTGAACATTCAAACCAACAGCTCAAAAACATGTCCTTCCTTCCTTCATCCACCCAATTATAGCAAACTATTTACTGAGTGCCTACTCTGTGACAGGTCTATGCACCAAACCTCTAGTCCAGTGTGCAGTCTAGACACATTCTCATATTGTAACAACCTAGTGTTACAAGAGTCTAGAAATCAACAGCTTCAGAAGGAGGTTGGGCAGGTGAATCACCCAGGTAAGTACTGGGGGATCTGGGCTACCTTTCTGTAGGAGGGGCCTTCTAAGCTGAAAATTCCTAACCTCAGGCAGAGACATTGTGTGGGAGCTGGGAACCCCCTGGTGAAAAAGGTATGTCCCCCCCCCACGAGGGTGGAGACAAATAAACAAGACAATGCCACCTGACACAAATGCAGCTAAGTCATGCATATGTTATATCTTTCTTTAGTCAAAAAAGAAAACTCTCCTCCGTGCAAATTTACCCTTTTAAGGCCGAGCTGTCTGGAACTAGGGGCACCAAGATGGCAAAGTGAGACCGGAGCCTTCCCCCAAGAGGCACCACCCAGGCCTTTGAAGGATAGGTGCAGGGTCGTCCTCCTGGCTCTTGAAAAGAACCTAGTCAATGTGCCCTGGTGGCAGGTGGCTAACGTCCTGAGATTCCAGCCTTCCACTGGTGTCCAGCGCCCTGGCCTCTGGGCTCGCTGGCCTGGTTTCTAACCTTCCCTCCACGCTGAAGAAAACTGGGGCTGAAAGGGGCCTTAATTGGTTTGGGGACCCGAAGGTGGGGGAAAGGGGAAGGGAGGAAAAAACATGCTTTGCGTATTAAAGAAAAAAGGAAAGTGAAATCCGAAACTCGGGGGCAGGAAGCGACCCCAGGCCGACACTTTGTGAACCTTTGTGAACCCACCTGGGTGGGGTGTGTGGGGGGTCACCTGCTCGACCTACCACCCTCCCATTCTGGTACCAAAGCCACGAGCCTGAGGGGCAGGGACAGCAGCAGGGAGACAACATCCGCGTTTCTCCGTTGCCACCCGGCCCCCCAATCCCCAGGCCGCTGCCCCCCACTTCCTGCAGCCCTGGTCACCGCCGGGGGCGTGTGTGAGGGGCGAGGCTACTTGGAGCTGAGGAATTTAAAAAAAAAAAAAAAAGAAGGCGAGGTAATTAGCATTCTCTGATCCCATTGGCTCTCCGCCGGCCCTGCTTTACATACGCCCGCCCCGCTGGCTGCCTGGGGTTTGCGGGGTTCCGCGGGGTTTGCAGGCGCCGCGGTAGCTGCTGCGCTTCAGTGCCGGGCGGGCGCCTAGCGAACCCCAGGCAAGGAGCCGGGAGCCAGCTGCCAGCAGAGCTGCTGCGGCGGCGGCATCTGAGACCATTTCCGTCCTACGAACACTGAGGCCGGCGGCTGGCGGCTTCTGCGCCCAGCAGGGCCCAGGGAGGGGCGGGTCGGACACTTTTTATTTTGGAAGAAAGGGGCGAGTCCCGGCGTGAGCTTCCCTCCCGGCCTGGCTCGCTCCCCAGTGCGCCCCAGCTCCGGCCCGGGCTCTGGAAGATGACTTCGGGGTCCACCCGGCGTCTACTAACGGCGGCGGCTCAAGGAGGCAGCCGAAAGTAGTAACACTTGGTGGTAAGCAGCTGGTGGAAAAGTGAGCCGAGGCAGCGCTTACTCGGCTCTCCCCGCGCGCCGGTGCCCGCTGCTCTCGCTGCTCCTTCCCCTCGGCTCCCCGGCGGCCGCAGCATGAAGTGGCGCAGCGATGGCCAGGAGAGGTAAGAAGCCTGTGGTGCGGACGCTGGAGGATCTGACGCTGGACTCGGGTTATGGTGGCGCGGCGGACTCGGTGCGCTCCTCCAACTTGTCCCTGTGCTGTTCCGACTCGCACCCGGCGTCCCCGTATGGCGGGAGCTGCTGGCCGCCTCTAGCTGACTCCATGCACAGCCGGCACAACAGCTTTGACACCGTCAACACTGCCCTGGTGGAAGACTCCGAGGGGCTGGACTGCGCCGGCCAGCACTGTTCGCGGCTGCTGCCGGACCTCGACGAGGTCCCCTGGACCCTCCAGGAGCTGGAGGCGCTGCTGCTGCGCTCGCGGGATCCCCGGGCAGGCCCGGCGGCCCCCGGCGGCCTGCCCAAAGACGCGCTGGCCAAGCTGTCGACGCTGGTGAGCCGGGCGCTGGTACGCATAGCCAAGGAGGCGCAGCGCCTGAGCCTGCGCTTCGCTAAGTGCACCAAGTACGAGATCCAGAGCGCCATGGAGATAGTGCTGTCCTGGGGCCTGGCGGCGCACTGCACGGCGGCCGCGCTGGCCGCGCTGTCCCTCTACAACATGAGCAGTGCCGGCGGCGACCGCCTGGGCCGCGGCAAGTCAGCGCGCTGCGGCCTCACCTTCTCTGTGGGCCGCGTGTACCGCTGGATGGTGGACAGCCGCGTGGCGCTGCGCATCCACGAACACGCCGCCATCTACCTGACAGCCTGCATGGAGAGCCTCTTCCGGGACATCTACTCGCGGGTCGTGGCCTCCGGGCTGCCCCGGAGCTGCAGCGGCCCTGGCCCGGGCTCCGGCTCGGGCCCGGGCCCGGGCTCCGGCTCCGGCCCCGGCACGGCCCCCGCGGCGGATAAGGAGCGGGAGGCACCCGGAGGGGGAGCGGCGAGCGGCGGCGCCTGCAGCGCAGCCAGCAGCGCCAGCGGGGGCAGCAGCTGTTGCGCCCCGCCGGCCGCCGCCGCCGCCGCCGCAGCCCCACCGGCCGCCGCCGTCGCCAACCACCACCATCACCACCACCACGTACTCCACGAGGCGCCCAGGTTCACCGTGGAGACGCTGGAGCACACGGTCAACAACGACTCCGAGATTTGGGGGCTCCTGCAGCCCTACCAGCACCTCATCTGCGGGAAGAATGCCAGCGGTAAGTGGCCGCGCTGGTGCCGCCGCCTCCCACCCCACCTGGCCAACTCCGGTTGCTAGTTTGCCTCGCGCGCTCCCTGCCGCGTCGTTCCGGCCACCCACCGCTGTCCCAAGCCTCTGAGGGGGCCGCGGGGCAGGAGGCGGCCCGAAACTCGCCGGCTTACTCGCGCGCTCGGAATCCGCGTACTTTACGCGGCTCCTAAGGTTCCCAAGTCCCGGAGCGCACTGTTCGGCCCCTGGTGTGGGGCGGCGCGGCGCGGCGGCGGCCGCCCGCAGACTGTGGAAAGAACCCATCGCCGTTTGCGGACACAGGCTTTTATCATTTGCCCCTAGTACGTGTTTCTGCCAGAGCCCTGTGTTTTGTTTGGTTTGGTTTTTTGACCTTGAAGATGCCAAATTCTCTGGCGCACGAGTTCGGCTCCCTGGAATTCCGGAGGAGGTGCATTCCTCCCTCCACCGACCGGTTCGAGTACTTGCCGGCGCCCCCCACCCCGGATACTGTCCTGGCGCGGGTGTACGAGAGGCCCCGCGGCCGTCAAGGCAGAACGTTTGAGAGCTCGCTTGGCTCAGTTGGGGAGAGGTGTGTGTGGTGAGAGGGTGGAGCCGGACGACTTAATAGGTCCCAAGTTTTCCCGGGGCAGTTTTTGAAGGCCAGAGCGCACAGCTGGTGGGTGCTGCGCGATGGACAGCCCTTCCCCCCATTTCCGACCTCCGAGCTCTTGCCTCTCGGTTCCCGGTGGGAGGGAGCTGAAGCTGTCACCACTTTGCTTAAGGAGCGCCACTAGGGACCCGGGCAAGATGGGAGTGGGGCGGGGTTCTGGAGGGGGTTGTCGGTTTAGGGCGTCGCTTCCAGCAGGTTCTGTCATCCCCTCCCACATCCCCGTTTCGGAGGCGGGAGCTGGGTGGGTTTGAACCTGCAGTTTTGGCGGCGGAGGGGGTGGGGCCGGGGGCTCTTGTTTTCGAGAGCTCGAGCTGGCGGTCCTGCCTGTCTGCGAAAGCCCGAGCTAGACACTTCAAAGCTTCAGTTTTCCACAGGAAATGGTAGAAGCGTAACTGGAGACTCTAAAAGCGAAATAAAACTTTGCTACATATTCGGCGGTTTGGCCGGAGATTGCGTGGTTGGAGCTGAAATGCAGTGTTTCTGGGTAGATTTCATTCATGTTGCTGCTTGTCGGTTTCCCGGGGGCTGAGAGATGCAGCGGGCGCGGCCGGGCCTCTGGGGGTGCCGAGCGTGTGCATGTGAGTGTGTGCTTGTTTGTGAGAGACTGTGAGCCTGTGCGTGTGTATGTTAAGTGTGCCTGTGCGTGTGCGCAGGAGAGAGCAGGCGCGCGGGGCTCCGGCAAAAGCTCTCGGTAAACTGACCCTCCAGCTCTCGGTCCTTTCACCTGGTTTTGATCATCGTTGGGGGAGGAGAAGGAAGGAGCAAAGTGGGCGTGGTGGTGGGGGAGGGGCGGGATCGCGACTTCCGCGTTGCTCTGGAGACTCTTGAGGATCTCTATACCAGAGACCTTCCGCCTCTGCAGCCAGTTGAGGGCGCAGAGCCTCTGCGAGGCTCCCCATTCCCCCCACCCCAAACACACGTGAAATCCTGACCGAGGTGGAGACATTTAGGAGAAGGTATTGGTCTTTGTATGAGCTTCTTCAGAAGGGGGAGGATTCACCTGAAAAACCCAGGGGCTTTGGACTGCATTGCGCTCTGTTCGGAGCCCTACCCCCACAAAAAGCGTAGAAGGGTTTAATTTTCTTCCCACCAGGTGCGCCCCACCTCCCCTGTTCTTACCTCTCCCGTTACAGCCGTCCTTTACTTCTTACTGGCCCCCAAACCCTTATCCCCCTGCTGGGACTGGACCCTGCTTTTACTAAGCTCTCACAGTGTTTCCTTCCAAGGAAGGAGCATTCCCCTCAGGGGGCACCGGTGTGGGCATCTGGGCATCCTGCTCCACCTGTTTCTTTGCCATTCTCTTGAACTTATGTCTTTGGTTGACTCTCCTCCTTGGGCCTCAGTCTCCCCGTCTGTAAATCAAGGGCCTCCTATAACTCTGTATTAGTAGCCTCTAGGTTTTTTCAAATTGGTTTTACTTTTATGATCCTTAACATCTTTTAAAGACAGTTTTTGTGTTTATCCTTTTCGGAGTAAGTATAATTTAAGGAAGGAGAGACCACAGAGTTGGTTTTGGGCAGGGTGAATGTGTGGCTGCCATCCTAACGGTTCCCACACCGTAGAGCTTTAACTCCTGGGTTTCAGGGCCCTTCAGCCATCTCTTGGTATGAGAGATGCTGTCATTTCATTGTGATCTCTCCATCTCCTTCCCTTGAGCTTGTTTAAAATGGCAGGTCATTTATGCGAAAAGTAAGGAATGAGCAATTAATTTCTTAGGTATCTGAAACATACATTAAACATCAAACCTATTAAATTATTTTGCTTGGTAGTCTTTCTGATCTGCAAGCCTTATTAAGGAGCACGTGCCTTACGTGATCGATTTTTTTTTTTCCCTTTAACTCAGCAGTCTCACCCATTTGTGAATTCGTTTACTCATCGATATTTATTGAGCAGTTAGTAAATTTAAGGACCCGGCAGTTACTGTGGTCCAGAGGTAATAACCTCCAACGTGCCTCCACCACTACTCTGTATGTTGACCCATTTGATCTTCAGCATTCCCTTGGAAAGCTACTACTGTTATCCCCATTATACACAGGAGGAACTGAGGCACAGGGAACTTAAGTGTTTTGCTCTTTATTGGCAGATGAATTCCCTGCCTTTAGGCCATCAGCTTGCCTTTCATTACCTACGGAGTTGAACAGAGACCCTTTACAGCCTGACCTTCTGTCCCAGTCCATACACTTTCTGTTCCTTTTGAACTGCACTGGGCTGTACTAGATTTTACATTTTTATAACCTCTGCCCAAGTCTAAGAGAGAGCCTGGTACACAGCTGGAGCTTACTAGATGCCTGTTCAGTTGCTCAAGCTGTTGTGTACAATGATGTCCCGAAAGAAGCTATGGAGTTTTGAGTTTCTTGAATCATCTTTTCAAATCCTTTTACCTTGATTGCCCCCCTCTTACTGCCATCTCTACACCTGCCCACCCTTCTAAATTTGCTGCTGCTAGATGCCACGCCCAAGGAATTAGGAAACTAATCACGAGGGTCTCAGTTCAGAAAACAGAAGATAACCAGCTGTAAGCAAGGGCTTGGTTGCTCTCAAAAATAATAGGACTGGGTTTAGGGCATGTACTTTGCAGGGGCCTGGGGACTGTTTTACTCTTCCGAGGGCTTTTTTCTTGTGTTGATTTTGAGCTGTTTTGAAGAGCTGGGATAAGAGCTAAGAGACCCGAGTGGATGTTGGGTTTCCGTGGGGTTTTAAAATTTGGCTTGATTGATTTTGCGAAAGCTACATAAGGGGCAGTCAGAAGCTTTTCGGCAAGCCGTTTGTGTGTGTGAGTCATTTTACCTCAAAGGCTTCAGAGCTGGCCAGTTCTCATCCCTGGAGACTTGGTCCAGAATGATCTTTCCAACACCTCTGTGAGGCCTGCCTTGATGCAGCCCCTTCCCCACCCCCCCCACCTGTGCCATACACAGCCCTTTCCCCCTCCCTTGGGAATCCTGACCCTGATCTTGCTTTAAGTGACTCCCCATCACACTGTGGCCCCTCCAGTGCAAGCTTATGTCCTATTCATCTTTGTCTCTCCTTTCATATCACTCAGCACAGCACCTAGCACCTAGCAGATGCTGGGTACTTGTTGTTGAAGGCATATAAGTGGCCCATTAAATCTTTGGGATTTAAAATTCACCCACCAACATCTGTCATCAACCTCTGTAAAGGCCTCTGAAATCAGACCTCCTGGATTTGAATTTCAAGGCTGTAATGTTATAGCTGTGTGTTCTTGGGCATGTTACCTAACTTCTCTGAGCCCAGTTTCTTCAGCTATAAAATAGAGGTAATAATTAGGATTAAGTGAGATTATGTAATAAGGGTGTTACAGTCTGCTGCCTGACACACGATAGGGGCCAAAGTAGTGGTGGTACTTGTGATAAGCCAGGCATAGTGGTATGTCACATCTCTGTCTCATCCAGATTAACTCATCTCCATGTGTTCAGTACGGATGGAGGCAGCAGGGTACGGAATTTTACTTGGATGGATCCTTCTTCCCAATATTCCCAAAGTGAAATAATTCAGGGGGCTCATCTCAGGGATTGGCTCCATGGGCTCAGCCCTCACGGCCACGGTCACAAAAAGATTGCTTGGACCAAAGGAAAGTAGCTCATCTTATTTGCTGTATTTTTTATTACAGGCATCCTTAGTGAAGGGACACCAGGGAACTTTCCAGGGTAATAGGGTTCAGAGGTACATGCATTTGTCCAAATGCATTGATTGCATTGTAAACTTAAGATGCGTGCGTTTCGCTGTATTTTAAAATGTACCGCAGTAAAAAAAAACAAAACAAAACATTAAAAACAAAGCCATAGGCATCCTTGAATGAAATTTAGTTTTAAATGCAGGAAGAGTATGAGAGGAAGACTGGAAGAGCCAGTGTGGTGTGAGGAAAGGGGTAAGGACTTTACACTGGAAAAGATTCAGCCTCACATTTCAGCTCCGCTGCTTTCCAGCAAATGGCTTAATTTTGCCGAATTTGGTTTTCTCATCTGCGCGGTGAGGATTGCCAAAACAAAACAAAAAGGCATAACAAAGGGAAGAAAATCCAAATCTACCCCCATAAGTGATTAGAGGATTAAATCAGATCAAGTATGTGAAAACACCTGTCACATAGTAGACACTCAATTATAATGCCTTCCTTAAAACACTGATTATTCAGGCTGGTGATTTTGAATAGTCTCTTTCGGGAATCCCAAATCACTTTATAAACATTAATTAACATGAGCCCTAGCCCCTGGCAGCACTGGCTTGGTGGGTGGGACAGTTTTCAGGTGTTTTGCTTCACTGTTGCCTCCTTAGATTCTGATCTGCACTAAATGCTTACTCGGCAGTTTTCCGGTCCCCTAGCT